TTCTTATATCACCAATAATAAAGAAAAATATGGGGGTGAGCCACTTTTGAGGGACACCCGGTATACCATATTTTAATCTCGTCTGTAGAGCATTGTTCGCTCTTTTAAAAGTAATTTTCTCATACAAGTATGTCGGTATATGTGTTGTGACGATTTTATGAAATAAAACCAAACGGTGCAACTCTCTTCTGTGCCACCCAACATCTTTAAGTTTGTGTGAAAATTTGTCATACTTCCGGATTCCAAAAATGAACCTAAGGCAACTATTTTGAACTTTTTGTATGCGATCCGATGTAAGCACATCTATAGCTGGATGATACACAGGCGCCTTAATGTTGAAGTGAGATAGCACAAGAGAAACACATAACTGTTTTGTTAATTTTATTGAAAGAACGGATCGGTGAGGATAAAGTTTTTTTAAACATGAATACGACCTTCTCATGTAAATATTAATTTGAGTTTTAAATCTGAAGGTGTTATCTATTGTTAAACCAAGGCATTTTGCTTCCTTAATAACATTGATTCTTGAACTATTTATATTAATATCAAGATCCAAGTTCAGCCCTGTGTTCCCTCTCCCGAAACATACACACGCAGACTTATCAGGATTAATCTTTAGTTTATGAAACGTTGCAATATTAAATATAGTAGGACCTGTCTCCTCATTAATACGCATCTGTGCTAGATTCTTATCATTTTCATGAAAGCACAAATGATAAGTGATAAAGCACTGTATATCATCAGCATACATATTGACTTTACAATATTGCGCCCGTCTACTAAACGGCGAAGTGTACAAAGAGAACAAGAGAGGCCTAAACACCGAACCCTGTGGTACACCATTCAAAGCTCTAACTGTGTGAGACACATCATCACCGATCCTTACCCTTTGAAACCTATCACAGAGGTAGTCACCCAACAAAGGTACCACATCACAACTCAGCCCCAAATCATACAGAATCTCACCCAAAACCACGTGATTAACGGTATCAAACGCTTTAGAAAAATCAAAAGACCACAGCAGTGTACAATCCAGTATCCGTGTTCGTAATCTTGTTTATTTTCTGGAATATTTTTTTTTCAAAATTAGTTTCTGGGTGAATTACTTAAAAAAAATAAGGCAGATGGTATAATAAAAAAATTGCATATTTTGCATATTTTTACAATTTTACTAGTAAAATACTAGATTTGTTTCTTGGTGCTTAATAAAATAAATATAATGACTGCGTGATTTTTAAATATGCGAACATATATTTTGGTTTCAAGCAGAATACAGTATATTTTTTAAGGAAATCCCCAACCATAGTTACTGTGGCTGTGTTCAGTGTGAGTGAACATTAATCGACCAATCTATAACAACATTGCCTAAACTGAAATCGTGTCTTGTGTCCCTGTGGATAAAAAGTTATCCCGAACTAAATTTAAATAATGAGGAATTATTTTGTAATTTGCCAAAGCTGTAAGTATTTTTTTAAAAATTATGTCGTAACGTTTTAGCCAAAGATTTATGTTAAAAAATTAGAGTTTTCAGCGGAGTTGCCAATGGTTTAATGACAACGAAACTGTATTTCTCTTAGACTTTTACACTAGAAGTTTAAAAAAAATGGAAAACTGTTAACTTAAAACTAAATAAAACTATATTAAATTTGATGTCCTATTTTCTTGGGATATGTTTTTACATATGATCGACAATGAAAAATAGGTACGAATCTGTTTTATAGTCTCAGATTAAAATTTTTAATCTGTTAGAGTAACTATGGCTAACTTTTTTAATTATTCTTTTTTAAGATATCGTGTGAGAGGAAGTCCCAAATAGAACAACATGTGAAAATTGCAAAACATATATAAAAATGTGATAGAAGTAGATTGATAATAACTATAAGAAAGGTATATTTTTGCATATTTCGGATAAAAAGCTTGCATATTTATGCGCATATTTCATATAATTTGACTGCATAAAAATCCGAGCTCTAATCATCAGTTAGGCGCAACATTGCAGTTGTACAACTATAGCCACTACGAAAGCCAGACTGCTTCTGAGGCAACAAGCTATTACTCTCCATGTAACTCACCAACTGCTGCTTCATAACTTTTTCAAGCACCTTAGACAACGTTGGAAGAATACTTATTGGTCTAAAATCTTTCAATTGCTTGGGATCATCAACCTTTGAAAAAAGAATAACTATCCCTTGCTTCCAAAGCGTAGGAAATTTACTCCCCGAAAGACAACAATTGAGAAAATGAGTCAGATACGGCAAAATCAACAGAGAGCAGAGACGTATCATTCCTATGGAAATACCATCACACCCAACTGAAGCGGATGTATAGAAGCCAGAATAGACCGCACCTTTGCCTCACTTATATTTTTAAATACAAATTAATATTGACATGCATTATGCTTATAAAAATCCAAATTAACAAACGGCAAACTATCCACAAGGTCGTTTACAGTATCTACATAATAACTGTTAACAGGGTCAGTGTCCTGAAAATGCGACGGTAAGGATAACGCCCTGCCATCCTGAGCTTTATATTATCTGTCAACATAGGACTGCAAATAATGACTGGTAGGTGGTCAGAGTTAAGCTCTGTGAGCTCAGTGTTGTTAAATACCCGGGTATTTATTTTCAAGGGCAAATTTCCTGGATATATACCTGGGGGTATTTACCCAAGATGGATATTTAGAGGTATTTATAAAATTTAATTTAAATTGAGATGATGGCAGTTTTGCAAGCACTTCAACAATGCAGAGTCGATTATCGATATACCAAACTTATTTATAACATCTCAAGAATGAAGTACTGAAGAGAGTAGAAGTAGTAAAGTACTGATTGTGAGTAAAACAAGGCGATACACTATTGAACCCAAATTGTTCATCACAGTTCTCAGAGTGCAGTTAAACAACTGGATTGGACCCAAGAAGGCATAAACATTGATTGCAAATGCTTAAGTAATTTGCGCTACACGAACGATATAGTTCTTATACCGGATAGCCTTGGAGAGATTACACTAATGCTGAACGACTTAAAGGAGGTGTGTGCAAGAGTCGGACTAAATATCAACGAGACGAAATTAAAATTTATGATAAATCTTTTTCCCAGCTCTAACATCAACATTCGGGATAATGAAATTGAGAGGGTTGCCAGCTATCTATGTATATCTTGGCTATGAGGTTCGTGTATCGAGAGATAATCAAACAAGCGAACTAAGCAGAAGGATCACACTCGTATGGGCCACCTGCGGGAAACTTAGAGACATCTTCAAGAGAAAAGGTCAAGAAAGACCTTCAATCAATGCGTGTTTCCGGTTATGACATAAAGCTCCGAAACATTAACATTAACGGTAGCCACTGCCAGGAGGATCCAAGTAACACAAAGATAGTTGGAGAGGTTGATCCTGGTCTGACTCTGAGGGACTACATACGAAATGAAGACCTATGAAGAAGGCGTAAATGATGTGATCAACATTGTGTTGCTTGAGTGGAGACCGCGAGCGAACAGACTAAGTAGACCTCAAAAGAATGACCAACAATTGGATTCAGGCAGCACAGAATAGAATCGAATGGAACAGAATAGGGGAGGTCTATGTCCAACAATGGACGCAGAGGGCTGCTTGATGATGATAATCATAATAACTTGATCTAATCTAAATACGACAGATTCGTTTAATGATAATACGTCTTTGATTGTTGACAATTCCTCGTCTTCAACGTCCTCATCATCATCCCCTTCATATTTTTTTGGAATCTGATATATTTTTACTGGTATCACTTTTATACCCACTGTTTGGGTACCCATTTTAGAAATACCTACCCACCGGGTATTTACCCAGCGCCCATCACTGTTAATGATGCATTTTGTATTTAAATCTACAACTTTTTTAGTACAACTCGTAAACATTTCGTGATTTCAACTCAACTATTAAAAAAGTTATGAATTTTACTACTTAAACATAAATACTTTCTCATTTTAGCATGGTTATTCAAATTAACAGCAGCAATCAAGCTTTCTAAAGGTTTTAAAGACTACAAAAGGTGTCTGTCTATTCAATTTAAACCACTATATCATTTATAATTGACAGAACATATTTAATCAATTCTGATTATTCCCCAACAAATTCATTAAAGGCTATTTTAACACAAAACCGATTGATTTTGAATTTAATATTGATATAAAATCTAATTGTAAGTATCTGTCTTGAGCTAATGAATAAACACGTATTGTGTTTCGAGTTCAAGCCTAAACAGGTGTGAAGGTAAAGGCGTATATGCGAGGCTGACCTCAAAACACGATTTTTCGAACGGTCCGAATGTCTACGAAGAACCTGGCCAATGGCTCGACCAGTGAGTCTTCGCGTCGAAGGAAAAGAAGGAGGAACAGTGCCCCCGAAGAAAGTAAGGTAATCGGAGGAGAGACTACCTGCTGTTCCGAATTCCAAACGGCATTGCGGTTTATAATATTAAATTTACGAATAACATCAAATTTGAATCATACTTTTCTTCGCGTTTCGAAATTATTTTAGAGCGATTTCTTAATATGATGGCTTAAAAGGGATTAAAAACGATTTCGTTGTTGAAATGGGAGCAAACAAAACTGTTGTTTTGGCTACGTTTCGAAATTTTTTTTAGTTTGGTCTTCGATTCGAATTCGAGACAAGGCTTAGACAATGAAAATTACGTAACAAAACCTAAAAGACCGGTTCCACGCAGTGTATAAGTCGACCTGAAGGAAGGAGAGGGTCTTTTCTGTGTCCGTAGGGACCTTGATGGTTGAGGGCCAAAATGCTATAAATATAGATAAGAAGAGGATACTTAAAAAATTCTTCTACAAAAATTCTTAAAATTTTTCTTCTTTCCTCATCAAGATTAATTCAAAAAAATCTAACAAATAAATATTTTAATTAAGCTTTAATAAATTTCTTCTCAACGAATAGATTTATTTACCTGGCTTAGGAGAAGGTGTGTGTTGAGGTTGCGAGAAGAGATTTCCCCAGACGTCCCAACAGTAGAGTTGAGACCACGAAACGTACATCGAATCCAACCAGTTCACCACGAAGAATGAAACGGTGACGACGTTTCACACCAGCGTTCTTAACGCCAATGTACTTATTACGTGTTATTTTCATTTCGAGTGAAGTTTCATTCATAAACGTTCTGATTAAACGGAACTTAATCAATTAATTCTAGTGATACACATTTTTGAATCATGAGGAACAATATTTTAGTATTCTGCTTGTATACGTTGGTGTTTATGAGTTGTCGGGAAGTGTTTGGAAATTTTAATGCGGCAAATGATTGCGAAGATACTGAATGTGGGAGTAATGATAAGAACAGTGATGGTAAGGGGATTGTTTTAATAAAAAAAATATTTATTTGTATTAGTTTCGAGTTCTTCGGCGATTCTTCGAACGGTAAATTCTTTCTAATTCTAACAGTATTTTCCTCTCTCTTTGGTTTCGTTTGAACTTGATGAATAATTCGGTTTGAACAATTTGGTTTTAAGAATAATTTTGATTTAACAAGTAATACTTCATTAGCAACATCAATAAGGAACGATCGATTTTTTAGAGCCGCATTTATCTATATGGGGCAAAGGTTATTTTGAGAAGAATTTTGTGTAAAAATCTTCTTGAACTGTTTTGACATCATAATTTATTTGAACTGTTTCTAAAGAATCACATAAGGACTGTGGAGAAAGCTAAGTTGATATAAATCGTTATTGTTTAAAAGTTTTAATCTAGAAATTTTTCTTGGATCATTAAATCTTAATTAAAAATTAATTGAAAATATATTATAATAATTAATTCAATCTTAATTTATTAATTAACCATGCTGCTTTAAAACTAAAAAGTGATAAAATGTTTTAAAATTGATTTTTTTATCTAACTTTTACAAGATTTAATATGCAGAGATGAATATAATAATAAATTGTAACCAAATTTAGGGAAATTAAAAAAGTTATTTTACTGGCACTTAAACTAGATTAAATTTGCTTTAAAATGCTTTTTACTTCATATCAATATCTCAATTAGTTATTGAGATACGATTTTTTAAATTCGACACTTATCTAATGTACAAGATTTAATATACAGAATTGAATTTAAAAATACATTGCCACCAAATTTATGGAAATTAAAAAAATATTTTTGTGGCACTTAAACTTGATTAAATTTGCTTCAAAATGTTTTTAATTTCATATCAATATCTCAATTAGTTATTGAGATACGGTTTTTTAAATTTGAAATTTTTTATCTAACCTACAAAATTTAATAAACAGAGTTGAATATAAAAACAAATTGCAACCAAATTTAGGGAAATTAAAAAAGTTATTTTAGTGACACTTAAACTAGATTAAATTTGCTTTAAAATGCTTTTTACTTCATATCAATATCTCAATTAGTTATTGGGATACGCTTTTTTAAATTTAAATTTTTTTATCTAACCTACAAAATTTAATGAACAGAGTTGAATATAAAAAGAAATTGCAACCAAATTTAGGGAAATTAAAAAAGTTATTTTAGTGACACTTAAACTAGATTAAATTTGGTTTAAAATGCTTTTTACTTCATATCAATATCTCAATTAGTTATTGAGATACGATTTTTTAAATTCGACACTTACCTAACGTACAAGATTTAATATACAGAGTTGAATTTGAAAATACGTTGCCACCAAATTTGCCACATAAACTTGATTAAATTTGCTTTCAAATGCTTTATTTCATATCAGTATCTCAATTACTTATTGAGTTACTCCTCTTCTTTATCATTTCCCCTAGATGCCATCACAGCGTTGGGGTGATGTTGGGATTCTCAATCTATATTTTAAAACTACGTCCGTTCCTTGTCATATTCTTCACTTCCTCCTCTCTTGCACACTATCTCCTGCACTCCATCATCCTATTTTATCCTTGGCCTGCCTCTCCTTCGTGTTCCAAGTATTACCATTTCCATTACTCTTTTGGCATTTTGACTAGGTGTCCATAGTCCATACCATGTCCATACATATTTGTTTTCTATTTCAATTACCAGCGTATTTGTTCTAAATCGTCTCTTATAATTTTGTTTCTAATTCGATCCATGGCGAGGTGAACATAAGAATTAAATAGTATGTGAATCACAATAGTAGGTGAAGGCCACCTAGAATTGTATCATTTGACAATGACCGAACTATCCAAAGGGAAAACTATTAGGATCCAACAGGAAGACCCACACACTTCGTTTATTTTATCAAAATGTGCAAGACTACAAATAAAAACTTACCAATTATACACAGCTACAAATTCTGCCAATTTTGATACACTAAAAAACTCTGAGTTGCTGCCTACTACATTTACTGTAATTAGAAATGATCGTAATCACCGTCTTGTGGATATGATGTTTGCGTGCAGTCAGCAAATCAAATTGTACAACTGTGATGTGTCCGATATTTCAAATCTTGCCCCGCTGATTGATGTAGTCGTGGGTAAATGTGCCTATTTCTCGATCAGCATATTTATTATTACAGCTTATACCTTCTTATAGCTTCTGATGTTCCGCTGCTGTGGAAAAATATTACTATAACATCTATAACGTTATTGAAAAACATGTACCCAAATATTGCTTGTCGCCGTCGAAATTTCCTCTATGGTTTACTGAAAGTACTAAAGGTCTATTAAAAGTAAAGAGATACAACTACCATACTACGATAAATTTGTTAGGTTGCATCGTTTATCCAAGGATGCAATTGATTCTGATTATCAATCTCATCTCGTGAATACCGAAAATTGTATATCCACCGACCCCAAAAATGTCTGGAGTTACGTGAACCAGAAACGTGGTAAATCTCGTATTCCAGGCTGTATGACCTTTGCTGGTTTCGAGATCTCTGACCTCCTGGGAATGTGCAAGCCTTCCTGCACCAACAACTATCAATAACTGTAACCAGCAAGTCAACTGTCCTGGATCCCTACATTATTCCATTTTCAGACGAGGAGGTAGAAAAAAGTTTTATTATTAAAGATTGTGCACCCTTCCTCAGCAGACCTTTATATTTAATTTATGCTTAAAAACTAAAACATTTCCTGCAACATGGAAAAAAAACTCGGATAACGTCGGTTTTTAAAAATGGAGACAGATTTAGTATTGAAAAGTACCGACCTATTAGCACTTTGAACTATTGCTCAAAGGTCTTCGAGATATTACTATACTCCGAAATGAGCTACTTTGTTTGCCTATATACATCTGATCATCAGCACGGATTTATGACTGGTCGTTCAACTATGACTAATTTAGCAGAGGTAACACAGTTCACCAGCGAGCACATGGATAAACGACAACAAGTTGATATAATTTACACAGATTTTAGAAAGGCATTAGATAGATTAGATCATGGAATACTTCTTTCTAAACTCCGCAGGCTTGGATTTATCTATGATCTATGCAGGATTTTATCTCTCCAATCTGATACGTTCACTGCTGGCTCTGGTGTTCCACGGAGTTCCAACCTAAGTCCCCTTCTTATCAATGTTTAGCTGAATGATCTATTACAACGACTTCATTGTAATGCGCTTGTTTATGCCGATGACTTAAAGGCGTAACATTCCCTGAAGACTGTGTTATGTTGCAGCGCAATCTGAACATTATCAGTTTCTGGTCTGTACAGAATGGAATTGATCTTAATATAGCAAAATGCGTTGTCGTATCACAAGGTGTAATAACCCAATAACGTTTAACTATTATATGGGAGCTGAAGCAATACGCTATTCGAGATCTGGGTGTCTTATTCTATGACCAGTTGCAATTCAAAGACCATGTTAACGCTATAGTAAAGTCAGCTTCTGGTGTATTGAGTTTTATCATCAGAAAATGTAAAAAATTTAACAACGTAGTCGAATTAACAGTATTTTTCTATGCGTTTGTTCGTACAAAATTGGGATATGGTTTCCTTGTTTGGTATCCTTCTTATACTTTTCACCAGCTCATGCTCGAGAGAGTGCTGAAGAGGTTCTTAAAATACTTACATTTTAAAACACTTTGACTACGTTGCGTTATTGGAAGAATTTAACTTTTCATCTTTGAGGAATCCTAAAAAAGATGCTAGTAGAAATTTTTTATCGAATATCGTCAATTGTAGTGTCGGCTCGCCTTGAGTTCTTGCTCGAATTAAATTCATTCTATTTCTCTGGTCTATTGTTCCATTCTCAGTAAAAATGGTGCCCAAGTATTCAAATTTATCCACAATTTCCAGTTTCAATATCCATAATCTTGGTTTTTCCTATTTATTTACATTCCCCTTTCATCCAAACAGGTTTTCCAAGTGGTAATTTTTCTTTGTAATTCTGATTTCGTACGCTATCAGCATTATATCGCCTACATACACCAGGTTAAAGATCTTCTTTGGTGTTAAGTTGTAACAACCTATTGTGGAAGGTCTTGTTCTTGTTTTAGACTTCTTAATTATTTGATCCATAAAAATCATAAATAGTAATCACAATAGCCATTTAGCCTGACGCACCCTTTTACTTTACTATATACTAGTGATGGAACGGATAGTGACCCGGATACCGGATATTTGGCATCCCCTTCGGCCGGATATCCGGTTATCCGGCATATCTATCCGGCCATTATAGTTATAATTTCTAGTGCATTTCTGAAGTGATACCCTACATTGCCACATTATTGCGATATTTGAATTAAAATGAAATTAATAAGAACTTATTTGGATCCAAGATACAAAATGAACTTTTTTGATGATGATTTAATTAACGAAGCAACTCTAAAAAGAGGATACTTTAATTAATAATTGGCGATGTTTCCACAAGGATCCTTCAAGAAATGAATTTTATAGCGAATTTTGAAAGTTATCGATGAAAATTGGAACATCGAAAATTGTATCAAAATTTCAAATATTATTGTTTTCTCAAAAACTAAAAGTTATTTTTCAAAACGTGTTGGTTCATTGGAAAGAGGACACATTAAGGATTTCCATATTTCTTCTTTTGGTACTCTTTCAAAGACTGCTGTTAGGTCCACAAATGCTAGGTACATGTCCTTACCCATTTCCATTATTCTATCTGTTAATGTTCTGATTATATGTATAAATGTTGGTCTTGTGTTTACTTGGTGAGTCGAAAGGCCACTTCTTCCTCTTCCAATTTATCTTCTGCTTCCTTTCTTAGGCATTTTTGAGTATATTTTTATAGCGACTACTACTTTTTGCTTATATGATTCCCACATCTCTTTCTTCAACTTATCCCCACACTTCTTTAGTAACTCCAGACCTATATTATCTATTCCCGCCACCTTATTAAGACACGATTATTTGATTTGACACCTGTTATCTAAATTGCAAGATTTAA